TGCTGTGGGAAAATAACTGTCTTGTACATGTGGATTAAAGCGACTTGAAATGTTCACATGTTAGAAGATCTGTGACGCACTCGAGACAACACGAGTTATTTTTTCTTGGGCTGTTTTAGCTGTTGTTAAATCTCTAGCAAACAGGCACATAGTTAGTCATACAATGGCCATATCAATTAAGGAATTTATGGGGGTGGGGTTACTATTGTCAAACCAAACCAAGATCCCAAATTATCAATCATCAATGATCAATTATCAATAACCCTATGCCCACCATCTTTCCCATGTGACATGAGCATGCAGCATTTTATCACGGAAAATACAGCAAAAATGTAGCAATAGAACCCTGTAAAGGTCCTTGTACAATCAGTTTAAAGTGTGGAGTTATGCCTCTTTCTGTGAACATAAAAATCTCAAATAGAACCACGGCTGAATTATATGCAAAAAAATAATAATGGGATTATTTGGAAGATTTTCCAATTATGATATGAACCACGATTTCAGTTAGAATGTCATTTTTCCATGTCATTTTTCACAGGTAAAAATATAGAAATGATGACGATGTAATATTTGTTGAGTCTTTACCAAACAAGCATGTTCCTTCACGTCTGGAGAATATGATTTGTATACCTGGGCATTTCTGTAGCACCACAATGCTTCATTTATGCTGTCACACATTTTACCTTCATCAAAAAATTGCAGGTCTTGAAATTTGGATATTGTACTTGGCCATTTTGCGATTTTGATCATATTTCGATTAATTGTTCAGCCATAAATACAGCTGAAGACACTGTAGACTCCGCCATATGTTTTCAAGTTCTGCAGCATAGAGGTGAATGACGTATGCCACAACTTCCAAGCTGAGGAGCTAAAAATGAATTTGACCTGTTCCTTCACTTTCAACACATTATAACACATTTAATTATATTCTGGGCATCTCTAATTTGCATTACACACTATCTACTTCACTACAAAGATACTGTAACACTACATGCAGTTCATAGGGTTTAATAAGTTAGTTATCAAGAGGTGTTTAACACATTTATGTATGTATGTATGAATTTCTATTCTCAAAACCAATTATATAATGATGTAATGGACAATTGCAAACCACTGTCCAACAGGTATGTGGAATGAAGAGAGTCTATGAGGTATCTTCTAATGATGCAGATGATTTCTGTGAAGCTGTTCAGGGACTCACCAATCTATTTTATTTACTGCAACAACATGCTATTCACTATAATGCTGTTTAGAATTGAAAGAGGTCCCTATAAAATACTGCAGTCCTTCCCCCTGAGTTTTATTGCAGAAATGTTGAGGGGCAAAGAAACACATGTAACGTCTTCAAGAGATGCTTTAATCACAAATGACTTCCTCCCCGGAGACTGTTGATTCCTCAGGCCCTTTTGAAGCCACATCAGAGGAAATGGTGGGGAGCTCCACTGCTACAAGCAGGGATTCTGAAGACTTCACAACACTGACACACAGTTTATCTATATCAGAGGCATTTTATATTTTCATCCCCAAAAAGTCACTCCGCACTTCAAGCATCTACAGCAGAGGCTAAGCTACCCAGCACGATTAATGAGCAGTGATTGTTATCAACAAAGATATTTTATCAGCGTTTTTCTATCTATTATTCAGCTTGTTGTGATAAGACACAATGATTAATGTGACTCTATCAAGAGTGTCATGGTTTCAGCTAAACAGGGTTACTGAGCAGAGTCCTCCATCTTTCAAAGCTTACATCCCTTTACCAGCTGTTTAACTCTCAGTCTATATCATATTCCAGTGTACCATAGCTCTGCTAGCTGCCCCAGACATAGAGACTTGTAAATATTCAATGGCGTTTCACAGAACAAGATCTCTCGCGCCACTGCTGTCACCATATGCGAGAGAGGGAAAGAGTAGACGGATGGAAAAAGAACAGATTTCACCACCGCCACCTCTTTTCACTGACACACACGCTTTCACACAAGCTGGTCAGGAACACCAAAAATATGGTCTGTCGTTGGTCGCAGAGTAATTAAAGCGTCTGCTACAAGTGCGATCATATAAACAATCAGCAATCAATATCACAATAGTCCTGGTGTTGTCATGCTGCGTATGCTGTGCCACAAATCTAACTAACAATGAATACCCTGCGTAGTCTTCTGTATTGGCCAATAATGTGCAGTTAGCAAAACCACTCACTTCTGCAGTTCTACATCTGCATAAATTCTACTCTTTATCAGAATGTCCACATGAACATTTCAATGATGCATTAATCTAAAATGCAGATGACAACCAACCCAAGTCACCTATGCTGACATCAGCTCAGTTGTAAACTTACTCTCAGATGTTTATGTGGTTAACCTTCACTTCAGCTCCTCACACAACTGTAAAATAATGTTTTCATCTAGATTGAGCTAAAACCCACACTGGCCCCTGATGACCCCTGCTGGCTCCTAACAGCCCCTGTCAGCCCTGAGACACTGGACTCTAATACCGGACAAACAGAGAACAGTATATGACAGTATACTGTCATGTGTGTGACCAGTCTGTGACTAGTGAATTAACACACCTCCTTTTACACCCTTCATACCCCGCAACCTCCTCCTGCTCATTCCCATGCTGGCTCTCCATTGCTCTGACTGACCCTGTCATCTGAACTTCTACATGCTGCCATAAACACTTACTCGGCTCCCACGCTCAAGAAGTCTATGTATAAGCAATTCTTGGATTTTCAACTCATTCTGAACGTACATCTGCAAAAAACATTTGAAATATGGTGACCAAAGGAGCCACATATGCTCCTTTAGACAGGGATCAAATGTTTACCCCTGCATATTCCTCTGAGGTTCGCAGCTATAACTCAGCATACACAATCATAGAGTGATTTTACGTTTGTGTTATCAAAGTAATTTTTGAACAACTCTTGTTTACCTTGAGTGCCAGGAGGGCAGGACACTACAAGGCCTCAGAGGTACATCCCGTGGCCTCTCTGCCAATGCCCCTTCACCATCCATCGCCAGCCTGCTGCCACTGTTATTACTCAACACCATCTGTACAACACAGTAACCGATCTCCTAGCTATTATCTACTCGGGAACAATGGCAGCCTGTACAACTGGAGGGAGCAACAGAGCAGAGGTCTCTCCCAGTGCTTTTGCTGCTCTGTTGTTTTGATGGAATCTGCTGGTATGTACAGTAACTCCGTCCAGTGTGGGCTACAGACGGTTTAGTTACTGTTTGACAGTCAGCAGCTAAACATGAGCAGATTATAGCTGAGGCAACTGTGGAAAATCTATATTATACAAGGACAACAATGATATGACCCCTCAGATATGTGCATCTAGCTGTCTTTGTGATGCTAAAGTTGTTTAGTTAGTTGCACTGATATAGATACCCCCCCCAAGGGGATTTAATACTGCCATTATTTCTGTAATTATAACTTTCCCTTTCTGATTTATATTGCTGTACACATCACTCATAGGACTACAAGTTAGCTTTGGATTTGGATGGTTTGGAGAGGGTGTGTTTTCATTCATCAATCAATCAATTTTTCAACAAAGTCTGATTAGGTAAGCTATTTCCTTCCTTCCTCTGCTTGTTTGAATTATTGTTATTATAAAACAATATTAATCTACAACAATAATGCAAATGAGCTCTCCTGGCACATTACCAACTAAATGTTTAAAGTGAGGTCCAATTTGAATGCCAGTATTATGCTTGAAAGGGGTACTCCACTAAATTAGTATTTCTCCTCCTCCAAAGTTCAAGGACTCACAAGAGACAGATTTTAAAAACTATCAAAATCTGTGCAGGAGGCGAATGTCCAAAATGCTGGATGTTTCCATAGTGCAACACAATGGCGTCTTTCATCACACCCTCCCTGCATGGTGAGCACCCATGTGATTCAGTGTAGTAATTCATATTCAGTATTCAACTGTTATCACAGTCTGATTACTCCTCCTCCTGACGAGTAAAGTTCATGTGTAAAATCGGTGGAGTGCTCCATTAATATTGGACTATTTTTTTTCCTTGAGTCTTGTTTAAGCTTTATCCCTTTTAATTCCAACCCTTGCTGTATTTTGTCCTTCAGCACTCTTTGTATCTCTGTTTGAGAAGCACTACACTGGCTTCTTTGTTTTCTTTTGTATAACCATAATGTTTATGATAGACTCACAGGCAAGCTTGGTCAGGACTTTCCTTGATTTTTTCATGTCATTGGCTGCTGTATGTGTATGTACACATATCAAAGCATTTCATGAACAATGCTCGTGTTCGGATACAGTCCCAAGAAACGCAGAAAAGGATTTGCTAACCACTTTGTCCTCCTGTTGCAATTCCATGAGAGCAGGAATGCAGCAGAAAGAGAAGAGGGAGACAGAGGGAGGGAGAGGGAGGAGAGCAGGAAAGATAGGGAGAGAGAGATTGTGAGTGGCATTAGTAGGTCCTGGTAGCATTTTCACATACTCCAACAGCAGAGGATTGGATGGCATCACATAAAAACACTCAAGCTCATGATTCAAATTTAAGCGGTCTAACACTAAAAGCTGTGGCTTAGTCTGAGGGGAGGATTTGACAGAGGTTAGTTAGGCACTGGAGTGCCACATTATACAAAAGCAGACATCAGGTTCCTTTATGGGGGAAAGAAAAGGAGGAAGAGTTCCCTCCAGTGGTGAAGCTGAACAACTGTAAGTTACAGTAAACATGAACAGAAAATCTACAGCTTTGAATGAACACATCAGGGTGAACAGAATTAGATCAAAGGCATGCAGAAAGTCTGTGACTGGAGCTGATGTTGATAATCTGAAAAAAACATTAGTTGCCATTAGAAAGACACTGTTGGCTCAATTCCCAGATTATGATTTCACTGCAATGTTTCATAACCTTGGATTTCAAATAGTAGCGTAGGGAGAAATTTGCCAGAGGGTGGGACATCTGTATGTGTGTGTGTGTGTGTGTGTGTGTGTGTCTTCATAAATGGAGAGTACCGAGCATGCGATCCAGCATTACCTTATTTGACCGCAGAGACACTCGTCCTCCGCACCGAGCACAGAATTTCGTTTGGCAATATGAACAGAGGTGGCCACAGCCATCGGCAAACTTGGTTTTGTGGCATATCCCGCAGGTTGGGGCTTCGCTCTTCTGGTCCTGAACCTGCTTAGACTCCTCCCCCATCTTCTTAACCTGGTCCTTGTACGATTCAAACTGCTGGTGCAACTTTCTGTAAGCGAAAGGGAAGGACAGATGTTAGGAAAAAGGAGATAAGGCTTGACCAATAAAAAATGAAGTTTATGTTTGATTCATTTATCTAATGGTTATTTGTACAGGGATAAGTATATAGCACTCTACAGCATTTACACCCCAAGATAATTGGCAATGCGCATCCATTGACGGTCCCTTAAAATACACATTTATCAGAATAACACTGACCGAAGGACCCAGTATATAGTATTATGTGACTTCATGTGTCCAAATGGGTTGTTTTTGTTTAAATGTTTAGAGAAGCAACTACACAGTGTAATCAGTCTTGACACAGAGAATGAATTATTAGGATGAATTATTACTAGTTTTTCTGCTGTAGTACAACTGGCAGAAAAATGTAAATTTTATGGCAAACAATCTTGCATCAGAATTATCTTCATTACCACCACCCCGATTCATAGCTCTTTTCTAGAAATCACACTTCCACAATAAGCTCCTACTCTCATCTGACTAACTGGTATCACCTCAGACGTTTGCAGTGTGTGAGATTTTGAAAGGAAAAGCAGATACTATGACCTAAGAAGCTTCAAAGCTGAGTTCCTCCTTTGATACTGCACCTCTCCTAAAAGTGGGGGGGGGGGGTATCAAATTTGCTTTGCAAGTTTAAGAACATCACTTAATTCCACTTTCTCAGGTTCCCCTGCGTTTAATGAATCATTTGCACCTGTGTTTCTATAACAGGACAGTCGTAAGGTGAGCCAGAGAGCACCGTAGAGCCATAATGTTAGATAATGATATTACCAATACACGCCGTTGGTATTTTCTCCGTTGTGTTACTTGTAGGAAATCATTGGTGGTCACACACAGTAGAGCCCACCACCCTGTTTGCTTTTAGCAGTGCAGCCTCTATTGTGTTATTGTTTGTGTCCTATAGATGGCCTCCTACTGATACATTACACCTGATCTTATACAGTGGATCCTTAACTCCTAACAACTCCTGAGAGACTACTGAAAAAAACCTGCATGGACTCTTCGCATGCATTTTGTATGACACATGTCAATTGAGCGTCTCCTTGGAAACTAAACACTGGGCTGACTTCATAATATGGCGATTAGAATTGGTTTCGCCCCACATATCCCCTGCAACATTCATTAGCACTTGTGAATTATTGAGCAGCGCTATCCTTTTACCACATACAGCTCTGCATTTGAGATAAACGCGCTTCCTTTACCCACAACCAGACCTTTAGAGCCCAAACGGAACAGCCACACACCACCTGAAATGTGTGTGTGGATTCAGGAGCAAGTCTCCGTGCAATCTAAACATTAGATAGAGTGCCAGTGGCATGCCCCTTGTTGTACCCACTAAGGGATTAAAGGGCTAATTGTGTCACAGCCTTTGTGTGTTTACCAAGCAGAGATTAGTATGTAGCCTTGTTTAACACATCCCACCAAATCTCATTTACTGACAGACGGCCTGATAACAGAGTGATGAAGACTGTGATACAAGAGGTAAAGCCACTGTCTCAGAGGATCAAGGAAATAAGACTACAAATAATCATGTTTTATTCTCATTAATCTCTGCTTACGCTCACACGTTTATAGAAACATGCGCTCAATACTGGGCCACTACATGGGCTAAGGGCCACTGCTCTGTTGACAGACAAGGTCACTGAAAAGAGCTGTTAAAGATAACCAATGATTACCTCTGCCTTCCACTGTATCGGGTCACCTCTTGTAACGCTCGCTCACCTCTTGGGGGGCCAAATAGAGGTTATAAAGAAGAGTTTTTTTTATCAACTGTGTTGATTCTAAGAGATAGATATGAGGGAGTAAGAATGAACAGAATAAGTAGAGACTAAAGAATTTGTGTAAAGGAGAGCGCTCATATTTAAAGAGAAAATGTATGCAGGATATTTAAACAGAGCAAATGAGTTATCAAGTGGAGCATGAAGAAGAAAACAAAGAATTAATGTGGAGTGAGAGTAGACTCAAGTGGCAGCAGGCAGCTGGTACACAGTGCCCATTCCAAAGGGTTTACTTATTCGGTCAAACACGGTCAAATGTAGGTGACACTGCTGACGAGTAATCATACGCTGCTCATTGTCCCATCCCATGCTAGCGTATCGGAGCTCTCTTACCTCTGGGCCGCACCAGAGCAGCTACACACAGCAGGTAACATGAGCCTCTGTCTTGGACATATGACAGCAAGGCTGAACTACAAGCTGTCTACAAGAGTCTGGATTCTACTTCTGCCACAAACTGAGCTGAATATTTACTCCTCTATCATCTCTAATACATCATGTTTGCACAACTGTCAGACATTAGAGTGTATTAACTGGCTTGCATATCTCTGTATTCACAGCATTCATTAAAAAGGGACAGTAACATCTTGAATTCATCCAGTCTGAAACAACTTCAAGTAATAAAACTGAGGCTGGGATTGTGTTTTAAGCAGTGGTATCATATACAACAAAGTTCTCTGGCCCTTGATTTAAAGCTAATGTGACATTATTGATTTATTGGCCATTTGACAAGAGAAGAACACAACAAGCTGACAAACCTACTGCCTGGACATATCACCTTACAAAGGTGCATGGCTAACACATTAACAAACAATTGTCTATTTACACGTTTAGCTGATACAGAACAACATTACCATTCATTTTAAATCAAGTTGCAGCTCAAATTTTCAGTCCAAAATTAATTCTGCCCTCTCTGTTCTTATTTGGTCCCTACTAACTTTTAAGAAGAAATATCCATCCTAACTTGCTAGCTGCTTTACTATTCTCCCAAGCGAGTTGCTAGCTTTGTCTAGCTGCAGTTTGGTGCTGAGCATGTAGCTTACCGTGGGTTTTTCTGAGATTTTTTTTTTGCTAAAACAAGGCTGATGAGAGTGGAAACACTGAAACATACACAGTATTTTGCAGGCTGTGAGTCCCACAAAATTAAGCTAAAATAGGCTAAATGCTCTGCAGCGTTGCAGAGCTGTATGATAATTTTTTACAGGTGTGTCAGTGAGACCAAACATTTTTACATTACACTTAGTCATAATAATATATTAATTCTTTTGTTATGTATTTTAGAAAAAATTAAATTTACCCCAATATGTTAAATTCCATTCACTCCAGCATGTGTCTTCTAAGGGACCACTGTGGCCTGTCACAGCCCTTCACCTGCCTCTGCAGACACGTTTTGATTTGCAGCTGGAAAAGCACAGGTGTAGCTCATAACATTAACGATGGCTCAGTCACAGTGGAATATTAGGCCAGTTAGCTACAAGTCAAAATGTTTGACGTTTCCAAGGCAACCTAACATTAATGATGAATGCAGCACACTTTGGTGGCAGGGTCCTGGTATTGGTCATGATAGTTCATGGAAAGGGATGGGAATTGTTCAGATTTATCGATGCCAAAGCCATTATCGATTCTGCTAATCAGTCCGATGCTTTATCGATTCCCTTAACACCCTTACACAGGTTTTTGCCACACAGTCACACCTGACTGAGCTTTGGCTATACAATGTAAACATAAGCCTACAGACAGATGACTGCAGCTTTAGTATTTTTTTCATCAGCTTCCCTTCTAGAAATGTTCAATTATAAAATACTATTCATACTATAGCCTGGCTGAATACATGATGGTTATTATTTACTAAGAGATGTGAATCCATATTGCCGGGTATGCCCAGCTAATCAACATTTTAAATTCATATATCTAATCAGTTGTCAATGTCAATATGATCCTGACGGTGAGGACAACTTGGAACCGGTTCTCAACTGGATCCGGTTCTTGATTCCGATCCATATGCATGTCTTACAGAGACACTTAAAAGAACGGACTCACTATCAATGTCATTACCTACAACTGTGCTTTTTGACAAATCAAAATGTGAATGTGAAATAGATTTAGCCTCAAATCACTCATTCACTACTCATTGTATAATGAACACTCTGTAGTTTACTCTATAGTGAGTAGGAAGTTTTCAGTCACTTTGTGTCACCACTGACCTGCAGCTTCAAAGGTGCATTTTTTTTGCATTTTTAGCGAAAAGTATTGAAGGCTACCTGCTACAGACGTAACTTTCTTGTTTTATACTATGCAAAATTTTGAAGGTTCAATATAGATTACATACATACATAAGTCTAACACTCATGTGAAGTGGTGGGAGAAGAAAGCAGATCACTAATGGGATTAAATTCAGATATAGCTCCACTGCTCAAAACCTCCGGCTACTCACCACCACTTACTTGTAAAAATACAAATAAATCAAATATATGAAACTAAATATAACATATATAATGAAGGGGTTACATACGTCCTATGCTCTTTACAACACAAACAAGCACACATTCTTCTCTTATTATGTCATTGTCTGTGACACAAGTTGCTACAATAAAAAAAAAAAACACACACATTTCAGTTCTGGAGTTGTCTTGGGTTTTCTTTTTTTTTTTAGACCAGACCAAAAGCAAAAATAGCTTTACTGTACAAACGGAGTTTCATTCAGTAGCCTATCTTCACGCACCCAGTCTCAGGTAACTCGGGTCCAGCACAGCTCCTTATCTATTGTACTTGTGCATTAATTACTTTAACCTGGGGCAGTGGATGTAAATTAGTCACTGATTAGAAAGAATTTTAAAAAAACTGAACCAAAGAGTTTTTAACTTTAACCATATTGCTGAATTGGTCACATGGTTCTGCGAGGTGAGGCAGAGTTAGCAGCTCTTAGACCAGTGGAGGAGACAGGTTGTTGCAGTATCAACTTACTCTTTGTCCACATTCAAATTAATTTATATTAAACCTTTACCCTATTGACTATAACAAAACAGCATTCTATCGATGACATGAGCTTATTTAACATTAGCCAAAACGCTGTTCTTTTGGCTATTTTAATCAATGTATAAATAATGATAATAATTCATCATTTATCATAGCATATGTATAACAATTGTCCTCTGTTTAGTTGAGTATATTGGTACTCCCCCCCCCAGAGAGCATTATGTCATTTATAAAAGTA